GTTGTTCATGGTTGTTGGAGTATTGATGACAATGGCAATCTTGTAATTACTTGAAGATGATGAGGGTGAGAGAGTAAATATGTTATTTTCGAAACCAAAAAAAAAAAAAAATTGATGGCATTTTCGTGAATTATATGAACTTGTGGGGTGAATTGGGCAAAATAAAGTTCCAAAAAAAAAGGAGGTTAGTTTTGTGGTTTACTTCAAGTTTCAGGTCAATTCTGCAAAAAGCCCTAGTTTATATCATATGTAACAACTTTATATATGTAAATAAATTAAAAATCTGAAAAGTTAGTAGTTATATTTAATATTGTAAATACTCTTTAAATATATTAGAAATGTGCATTGATGTAAGAAAAGTAAAACATAGTATCATTTAAACCATTTCAGTAAACCTATTAGAAGTTTAGTTAACAACAAAAAGATGAAAGCTCAAAATTAATAGAATAAATAAATAAAAAATAACAGCTACATAACTAATAAATAACGATTGAATATATAAAATAAAATTATAAACTTTAAATTAAAACAAAATATTAAAAGATATAATGAAAATAAAAGTTAACACATATGTTACTTACAAAATATATATGTAATATTATTTTTTTTTTTAAATCATAGCTAATTTTCCATATAGTATTGTTTATTTAGTCTTCAATTACAATAACATGTAAAAAATCTAATTAATATGTATATATATTATATAATAAAAATATATATTAAACATATAATATAACTGTTTTAATTATTTTTAAATTTACATCCCGCCTGTAGTTTTGTATATATAAGATGAAAAAAAAATCATATCTAATCAAAGTTTACCAAACAATACACTTTTTAATTTGTATATTGTATAACTTGTATTAACAAATAGAAAAAAAAATTTAACGCTGGGTTGTTACATATCCAAAGGAAACATGGAGTTCTAGACCCACCTCTAAACATAAGGGGATCCCAAGAAATAGAGACATAAAAAGAACAAAGTAACTAGCCGTAATCAGTTGCGGAGATAGAGAGTCAGTTGACATCCATGAAATTTTATAAAACACATCATTTTTGACCAAATAAATTATATTGACCTCAATCAAAACAAAAAAAAAATGACCTTTATCAATTTTCCTTTTAAGTGTAGTACAATTGTGACCCCTATGGATAGAGGGTGATTGGTAGAGGGATTCTGCCATAGGGCTCTCAAGATAAAAACAGCTAAAACAGTTAGTTATAAGAAAATTTTGCAGTTTTTCTAGATACCTCATCATTTGCAGCTACATTTTTAGTTGTTCTTGAAATTTCATTTTCTCTTTTCTGTTACATGAGCCGTTTATTAGCTTTTCTTGTTTAAGCCATTCATAAAAAAGAAAGTAATACTTTAACTTTAAGCAAACGACGGAAAATGTTTTGTCTATTTAAATCATTTGTAAGTAAAGAAAGCGAAACAATATAAGAGAAAGTAAAAGAAAAAGTACACGACAACAATATTACCTTAGATATTCTCTTTTAACAAATTTGATTTGAATATAAAATTTTGAGGATAGTGTTATATTCGTAGGGATTTTGCAACTTGGGAAGCTGATTCTTGTCTCCTCCAACTGCCCACCAGGGAACTTTGCAACTTGGGTAGTCTGTTCTCTGTCTTCTAAACAAAACAAATAAATACACAACATCTATACTTCTAAACATTTACAAGTATTATAACAATTTGAAACAATATAAATGTTGCTAAAGGCTGACATTCTTGTGATCTAATATACATACGAAAACTTGATTCATATACGTTGAAGTTTATATCAATGGATAAGATCGAAGCATATGAGAAAAATCATCTACTCATTACTACGACACGTCTTTTTCAAAGAACAATTCTACCCTTGGTTTTTGGGGTTTGAGAGCGACTTGATTAACGAGAACAGAGAAAGAGTAAGAGTTCGACGGAGGAATTCGAGTCAAAGGTAAACGACTGTAATATTTTATATCTTATTCTAGTTCTAGATGTTTATGAGAAATAAACTCTAGATGTAGTGAAGTTAGAATCATAATTGATCTTCTTGTTTGTGATACTACAGGTTTATGGAAAAAAAAAAATCAAACTCCGAGTTGCATTGGAGAAGATAAAATGATCTCTATCTAGTATTATAGAATCTCGGGGGATAGTGTCATATCATGAAACATGTTTCTTATATGTAATATATTTCATAAACAACAGTCACATTTTATTGCACTTTTACAGATTTAACAATATCTTTTCTAGATATCATGTCTCAGCATTTGCAAGTCTCTCGATACCAAAGAAGAAGTAGCGAAGTAAGATCCCAAACAATTTCAGAAACTCCCAACTTTCTAAATCTACTTCATGTAGTCAAGCACATGGTACTTGTTTTCTCTCGCGTTCTTGTAGTAGAAACATACATACAGTCTGAAGATATCATATTTGATAACTTCAAATTAGGTTCACTCAAAATTATTAATATACACATTTCTCGCTATTCCCCCTCAACTGTTCAATTTTATAAAATGCAGTCGTGTGATTATTGATTACACAGCTACCAAGACTGTTATTCCATGCTTTTTAGGTTAAAAAAAAGCAGTGAATGTGAAATGATGGTTTCCATTATGATGCTCTCAGCTAGACAGAACATAGACAATGGTCAACGAGTTGGAATTGTATCCTTTAAAATCAAAAAGAAAAGACAAAGGAAAAGGAAAAAGAGATGAAGAAAGCTTGAAATGCAAGAAGAAGAAAAAGAAGAGCAAAGCCAACAAGGAGAAGGGGAGCTAAAGGCTAGAGGATCAACATCACAAGCTAGGAGGCGTTCTTTGAGAGAGTTTTGAGTTTATTCTTTGATTCATTTACAATAAAACAGTTGCACTAGATGTATAAAGGTTTTGTCTGAATAAATTTTACATTCATTCAAAAAAAAAGAAGGGGAGCTAAAGAAGTTACACAACAATGGGATAAGAGTTGTTAGTTTGATTTATTTAAAAGCCAGCTAAGCTATGTGTTAGGATATAGTTGTTAAGAGTTGTTGCTCTCTAAGATAAGCATTGCTTGTAAGAATAGTCTAATGTCTTAGAGGCATAGACTAGAAGAAGTTTTGTAAGTAAAGTGTAAGTAGAGTTACTATAGAAATCTAGTATAAGTATATATGTATGTGTGTAATAAAAAGAATGATAGGTGCACAATGTATGTCTTTATCATTACCAATATTTGTCAAAGAATTACCAAGCCAAAAAACGTTAGGCCAAGGATGTTCATCCAACAAACCTAAACAAATAAAATTTAGGAGAAGAGTAGGGTTCGCATGTCGACAGGTGGCAAGTGAGCAGAGCAAACAGGACAATGAGGAGTGCGCATCAAGTAACTAGAGATACAAGTACCGTGAAAGATGTGATTGCATCTTGTTTTGTGAACAATCTCAACGTCTCTCGTATACCCTTTCTCACAGAGAAAGCACAATTCCGAACTTTGATAACAATCCAAGATCTTTGTTGCTGGTGGAGCAATTGGTACACATCTGGTTATTGCATCTTCATCGGCCAGGATAGAATGTCTGGTTCTCAATGTGTGTAGAAGAGTACGTGTGATGTCAATCTCAGGAACATGATCTTGACCAAACCCTCTAGTTTGAAAGTGAAAGACGAGGACGGGACAGGCGGGAGGTACGTTGTCAAGATTCGTGAAACAGAAATTGGAGACTATGTGGTCGAAGATCTGTTTATGTATTTTGATAGCGATATCATCGCGCATCATCATGAATGACCAGTTGATCATATCTACGAACTTTTTGGACAATCCAGCTTTCGAACCTCTTCTTTGTCGTCCTCGTCCTGTGTATTGGGACAATTGAAACTTTCGAGATTCATGACCACCTTCACAACTTACTACTATTATTCCGACATCAGACTCAGAAGGCACATCAAACTTGTAAAGCCTGACATCACCGAGAACCTTATTCATAATTACTCTGATAAATAATTTTGTTGTTGTTGTTTGTTACTTTGTGAGGTGTGATTGAATCTGCCTTTTTATAACAAAGCCAAGCAAAGGTTATATTTTCTATTCCAAATTCGACTAGGATCTTGAGGTGTAACTGACTTTCCTTTTATTTCTCTAATAAATCATATTCTTAAACAAAACTAGATCTCGACCCGCACAACCGTGCGGGTATTTTAATACGAAAATATTTGAAATTATCTAATATTCACTCCGGTTTAAATAGATGATGTTTTATAAGATTTATTTTATTTCAAAATATAAGATGTTTTGATATTTTGAGGTTTTAAAGTTATCTTTAGCTTTATTGGAAACTGTTCAACCGATAAAATTTTACTTTTTAATAATTTGTTGAATGATTATAAATTATATCTTTAAAATTTTTTTTGTAAAAGAATGTAAATTTCTTAATTTTTGTGCTATGATCCAAAACCTCATATATTAAGTAACAGAGGGAGTAAAATTTATCAATAAATGATATAATTTGATTATATATACTATCCAATTTTATAATAATATTTATGTAGCTTAAATATTATTAACTTAAAATTTCTAAATTTGTATTTTTGTAACAAATTTTAAAAACATTATTATGTAACATTACTAATTTATATATTTTGTTTTATTTCTAAATTTTAAATATATAAAAAAGTAAATTAAATTGGACCTACATAATACATAAACAAAATTTTGGGATATTGTTAAAAGTTTATTGCATAATTTTAATTTTTTTTTTAAAAAAATGAATTAAATTTTAATTATATTCTATGATAACTAAATTTTTAATCAAATAATTTTTGAAACTATATCTTGAAAAGATTCTATAAGATTTTTAAAAGATTTTGTTAGAATTTTCTTATGAAAATAAAAATTAAAGATATGAAAAGATATTATAATTATGTTATGTAAACTTATATAAAATTTCTAAGGATGGTCCAAACTAAAAAATCACACATGAAGTGAGTCATGACTTCTCTTTTAATATATTAGATTTCCTCATTACTTCAGAGACCTAACCTTGTTAGTTTGTTACTCACGTTGCATCCTCATGGGCTTAACAAATATATGACACTTTCGACTAAAAAAAAAAAAAAAAAAAAAACAGATATACACACTTTAATCTGTCAAATTAGGACTAATTTGGGAAAATATATTTACTAGACCGTACTTTACATATGATATATGTTGGTTATTAATTGCATATCTAGAGCTGGCCTGCCCTACGGACAGAAAGTTATAATAAAAAAATCTTTTATTATGAATTTATATTAATTTTGAAGTATTTAAAATTATTATAGATCAAAAATATATTAAAATAAACAAATAATGAAAAGAGTTCTGAGATCATATTGTTTTCAATATATATTTTTGGAAATAAGTATAACTTTATTTTATTTTTATATATTTGAAAAGATCATTTATATAATTATAAACACTACTTTCAATGTTTATAATGTCTTGTATATCGTGGAATAATTATATTTTATATAATATAATGTAGTTTTAGAATTATTTATATATATTGGCAATTAGTTTTATACTTGTTTACAATAGTTTTTTATTCTTTTAAAAAATCTATGGTAAATAATTATTTTCATATTTTTTACAATCAAGTTTTTATTTAATGTTAGAATTATAATGTTATTATATATCTTAATGGTCGCTGACTATAAGAATGATGTTCTTGAATTGTTTTTAAAAGCAGATAAACAATGTGAATTATTGTTCTGATATGTTTTAAATTTAGTTTAATGCATGGACATCATATATCCGACCGAGTTCAGTTTGTGGCTATTCAAATTTTGGGTTTTAGGATCTAAAGATTTAAGGTTTTATTTAGATATTTATTAAATTGGTTATCGTTTAGTTCAACGGGTTTGGCTACTAATACAAACTATCACTGGAGTGATAATAAACTATTACAAAGGTAAACGACCTCATAAATGAAATTGTAATCACTGGTGGCATCCCCCATGTTCTGGACTGAGAAAACGTAGACATCTAATAAGAAAGCTAATATATACAAAAATTTATTAAATAGTCTTAAGCTGGTGGCATCCGTAACTACTCTTAAGAAAAGAGTATCATTCGATAAAAAACGAATCTCTCATGTTCTGGGCTGTGCAGAAATTTATAAGGTTAAAACAAAAATGTGTAATATTAAATCTCAAACACACACAAATATTCTTTAAAACTATGATAAACAACTTGGTGATCAGTAGAATAGTCCCAAATCCATCCGCTCCATGTTACTTGTCGACGAATCATTCCACATCTTTTCCGATCTCTTGCCATCTTCTTCTTCTCCATACCACCACCACTGCGACCCCTTCCTCTGCCACTGTGATCACCACCACTTGGACATATTACTTAAAATTTTTAGCGAGTAAAACAATCTGCACAATATTATTGGCCAAAAGGGGTTTTGATGGAAAAACGCTTACTCAGTGAACTCTGTTAAATTTAGTAGACCACCACCAGTTTCATATGACGCGTTTGAATCCTCCTCCTTCCACCAACGCATGTCATGGTGAAAAGAATTATTGTTAAAGTCGTTAACAGTCTTCCTTAGTGACAAACATTAGATTCTTTACTTCAGTGACCTACCTCCCTCCGTTACAAATTAAAATCAATCAGAAGTGTCCCAAAAGAAGGAAGATGTCAGTAGTCATCCAAATTAACTTATTACCAAAATCTATCAATTCATATAATTCATGCATGATCATAATTTAACCAGTGCTTTTCACTGCCTCGTTTGGAGAAAACATATGATGATGAGAAAAAATATTTTAAAAAAGTGAACCTTTGAAGCTCGATGCTGCTGATGGACGGGCACCACCTAGTGACTGTGTCAAAGCCTTGCCTGTGAACATGTGTGTGCAGTAGTGGAGCCTGTACTTAGCACAAAAGAAAAGAAACTTGATTAAAGAACAAAAAAATATGTGATCAGGTTTAGAGTCAAAAGTGCAACATCAATGACGTGAATGAGCAATATGGCTCTCACAGAAACACTGGAACCAGCAAAGAAAAAGAAATCAGAGCCATGGGCACAGCCAATGGCTTGATCCTTCATGATCACTACTTGTAAAACCTCACCGAAGCTCTGAAAGTACTCTCCATATTCAGTGGTCTTCCAAGATAGACGATGGATGAACAACTTACATGATTCCATTTCATCCTGAAAATGCAATTGTTCCCGAGTATATATACAGCTAGTTAACATCTCGATCAGACTAAAAACATCATATATATTAAGGGGAAAAAACAGAATCATATGTTCCAAAAATCTGATGGAGGGGTTTAGATCAACCTAACCTTTGTGGGAAGCAATGGGATGTACTGATGAATATTAATACCATAATATTTTAAAATAAATTAAAAAGATATGAAAATAAATGCGGACATAGTCCGGGAAAGGCTCTAGTATTAATAAAAGCATTATACATTGGAAGTAACTATACTGTACAATAAATATAATAATAAAAATAATTATAACTTGGTGCTAATCTAACTTTGAATGCGGAGGGGGCTGTGGAAGTGTTTGTTTTTTATAGTGCAGATCAGAAGCAGTGGCTAGTGGTGCAAACTGTTGCTAGTAATAAAAAAGCAGTAAACGAGATAGGAGGAGGTACTAACAATGACGTTATTGTCTCACCGTCCCGGTTCAACGTTCTTGCTGTTTCAAAAGATGAGTGTGAAACAGATGACATTGAAGAAGGGGAGCTGGTCCCAGTAGAGACTAAGGTTGTAGAGCCAAGGGTAGCGAAGAAAAGAGATAAAAGTCAGCAATATGCTAGCAATAAAAACTCCAAAAAGAAAGTTATCAATTCTAGAGATTTGAGGTTGGTGTAGGCCCTGTCAGCAGCAGCAAAAAAAACTTCCTTTAAGAAGTTATGACATCCTTTTTCGCATGGAATATGCATGGCTTCAATATGGCACGCAAACACGTAGCTGTACATAGATGGATAATGAAGGAGAAGCCGCTCTTTGGCTGCTTACTGGAGACAAGAGTAAGAGAAGAAAATCATAGTAAGTGCATGAAGGCAGTCCTGCCAGGTTGGTCTTCACTCACAAACTATGATCATTATAGACTTAGGAAGATCTGGTTTTGTTGGACAGATAGGGTAAAGGTAACTCTGTTGCACAAGAGTTCTCAAGTAATCACTTGTGCAATTCAAATTATTTAGACGAAGGAGCAGTTTATTTGTTCTGCGGTTTATGCTTCTACTTTGGAAGTTGAGCGGAGAGAGTTGTGGGAGGATATGCGAGGTACTCTTTCAGCTTATAAACATCTCGATATGCCTTGGATCCTCCTGGGATATTTCAACGTCACGTTATTTTCAAGGGAACACTCGCGAGTTCATGACTATCTTACTGATCAAAGGGGTCTGCGACAGTTTCAGAAGGTGGTTAGCGACTGTGCTCTGAGTGACTTGGCTTATACAGGGGGTCTTTATACTTGGTGTAACAAGCAAGAGGCAGATCCTATCAGAAAAAGCTTGATCGGGCACTCATTAATGGAGATTGGTTACGCTCCTTTCCTAAGTCTTTTGCCAAGTTTGATGCTGGTGGAATTTCAGATCATGCTAGATGTGTTATATAGTTATCTGAAAATCGGGAGGAGGTGCGGAAACCTTTCAGATTTTTTAATTATCTGACAGAACACGAATAATTTCTTCCTACGGTTTCTAAGTTATGGGTAAGCACAGAATCACTCTATCATTCTCGGACCTCTTTGGGGAAGTTCCATAAAAAAATTAAGGCCTTAAGTTTGATATGAGACTATTGAACAAAACTCATTATGGTGATCTTCCTGACCGTACCAAGCAAGCTTATGAGGTTATGTGTGATTTTCAGAATCAGGTTTTGAGGGACCCAAATCCTATGACATTTGCGGCAGCAGCAGTATGATCTGATAGGTGGAATAAGTTGGCTAGAATTGAGGATAAATTTTGTATCCGTTG